TCCTCCTTCCCTCAGGTTCTCGGCGTCATGGGCTCTCTCTGTGCTTTCACCATCTCCGTTACCTTCCCCTGCTGGTGCTACGTGAAGCTCTTCTGGAACGAGGTCTCTCCCTCCTCCTCCTACCCGCCCCCTCCTCCTCCTGCCCGCCCCCTTCCTCCTCTCCCTCTCTTCCTCCTTCTCTCTATCATCCTTCGCTTCCTCCCCTCCCCTCCCCTCTTATCTCCCATCTCTCCCTTAATTTCTGCCCGTCAGCGCTGCCCTCCTCCTCCTCCTCCTCCTCGCCCTCTCCTCCTCCTCTAACTTCTTCCTTCCTCAGATCTCCTGGTTCGAGAGGATCATCAACGTCGCTGGCACCATGGTGGGTGTCGTTTGCGCAATCATCGGCACCGTCGCATCGGTCAGGCTGTTTTCCCACTTCCTCCCTCCTCCCTAACACTGCGGCAGATGATGCATCCTGGATCGGAAGCATGAGATGGAGGAGGATATTTGAGATCAGATCTAGCTCATGACATGTTGACATGTTGACAAGTTATTATGCAAGAGGCAGGCAACAGAGGAATCAACAGGGTTTGACGTAATCACTAACAAAACACAAATTTGAACAAAGGAATTGTCTGCTTTCCCCTGCCCGTCTACTTTCATTCACATCTTCTCGAGTTAACTTCCCACGACTGTCCATTCCTGCATCAACTCAGCGTCACTTCGGCTTCAGCATGCTCGTCGGCCGAACCTGCGCCGGCTGATGCCACATGCTGTATGTGTTGTTCAATACCTTCGGTCCCCCGCTGGCAGGATCCATGGACTGCGCAATGAAGAGTCAGCATGTCGACCGCCATGTCGACCGCCTTGGGCGACTATCACCTGCTTGTCGCCATGCAGCTTCTCGATGCATGCCTTCACTTCATCTTCCGCGCCATACTGGTAAGGTGAGGCATTACGACAAACTAGACAACCAGCAAGCATCTCACGTCAGCGAAGCACTTGTCGATGATTGCATTGCTGAAGAGGTCTGGTCGAGGCCTCTCAAGGATCTGGAAGATCATTGGAGGAGATTGTGTCTACACGCGCACGTCAGTTCACACCACGGTGTAACAACACCCGACGACGTTTCATCGAAACTTTTCAAGTTCTCCTCCTTCTCTCTTCTCACTCAACTTGTCGCTAGCGAGATCTCGTCACAGCTATCACCATCTCTCTGCTCTTTCCTCCTCTTCTCCTGCCCTCTTCCTCTATCTCGTCTCCTCCCCTCCCCCCCCCGCCTCCAGCTCCTCTCTATCCACCATGGCTCTCCACAATTCTGACTACCCCTGATGTACACCCCTTGTTTTACTACCCCTACCCCTAAAACTTGCAAAAATACGAAACATACCCGTGTTGTTTAGATATGTTTTCATATCAAATGACCCCCAACTTATGAGAGGTACCCCTATAAATTTCTGACTGTAGACCCCAACCCCACTCAGAAAATTAGGGCGTGCGGCTATGCTGAAGGTAAGCAAGAGGGGATCAGAAGGGGAGAGGAGGAGGAGGAGGGGAGAAGGAGGAGGGAGAGGAGCAAAACCGAGGAGGATCCCATGGAGGAAGATCAAGGAGGGAACGAGGAGGAGAGATGAAGGAGAGGAGTCGGGGGAGAGTGTTACACGGCATGTCAACGAGATCGGTCATAGCAGAGGGTTAAAGAGGACGAGGTTGGGATAGACGAGGGGGGTTGGTAGGGGGGAAGGAGGATATCCAGAGGATTTGAGCAGAAGAGGAGGAGAGGAGGACACAGGGAGTCATAGAAGAACCTAGTGGATGAGCTTCAGTGAAGATAGGAGTAACAAGCCAGATAGAACAGAATGATGGTACGGTGCGAGATCAAGGGGCGTTGGTGTTCAGAAAGAGATGCCTGCTCCCTCCCAACTCTGAGGACGATGAGCCGAGTGGGGCTGACTCTTGCTCTTGCCCATGTCGCATGTCGGCCCAACCATACAGAAACTCCTCCCACGAGCAACTTGTGCCCTAAGTCCGCTGATGGCATGGCAGAGGTTGACACAGAGGTTTGCGTTCTGGGCGGAGAGGCTGGTCCCGAGGCCTCAGCAGCGTTTGATGCTGTCGTATGAGACGTGAGCTAGTCCGTCTGGCCCCCATGGCATCTGACTCCTTCCACAGGAGCTCGGCGTGCTCGGAGTCAGCGATCTCATCGCCTTCCCTGCCTGAGAGGCTGAGCGAGGTCACCGTCTCCTGCTCCTGTGCTGGGGCTCCTCTGACAGCTGCAGCAGCTGCTGGATGGGTTGTGGTTTGCGGTTCCTAAGAAGAGGGTGTCAGCAGCGAGGTAAGTGAATTCAGAACCTGTCCGAACCCTCTGACCCTCTCGTTCTCTCAGACGTGACGTGCGGAATGCGCCGAAGGCGTTGAAGTGAGATCAAAAGCTATGATGATGATCATGATGATGATGATGATGATGATGATGATGATCATGATCATGATGATGATGTAGAGGAGGAAGAGGATGAAGAGGATGAGGGGGGCGGGAACGGTTGGGAACATGATCAGGATGATGGAAGGGTTGAAGTTGAGGATGTGATACCGGAGAGGAGGGAGATGCGATGTGACGGCGATCTTGTTGTCGCTTCCGATGATGACGATGATGATGATGATGATGAGGAGGAGGAGGAATGTTCATAACGATGATCATCAGTTGGGATTACTCCATCGTTCCTTGTAAGAAATGCGGGAAGCCTCGGCGTCCTCACAGGTTCTCAGCTCGTGCTGTTGGTCTGACTCGCTGAGCCTCCTGGCAGATACTGCGATCAGTACAACTGCGCTCGGGTCGATGAGGTCGAGAGACCTCAAGTCGAGTCTTCGGTGAGCTAGAGGAAGAGGCAGAGAGGGTGACTGGGGGTGAGGCAGAGGCGGGGAGTGAGACGGGAGGAGGGGAGGGGGGAGGAGAGAGATGGAAGAATAGGAGACGAGAGCTGACGGGAGGAGGAGAGGGGAGGGGCTGAGAGCGGGTGTGCAGGACGTGAAGGAGGGAAGCAGCTGAAGTGGCGGAGGGAGTTCCGCCTTGTGATTCGAGAAGAGCAGATCTACAAGTTTGTTACATACACCGATGCTCTACTTGGCAGCAGCAGCTGTGCTGTTGTTCATCATGTTGAGAAACTGCTCGCTCAGCACAGCGATGTCGTCCCACGACTTGTCGTTGTCTGCCCGGGCCAGCTCCTTGCGCGCGTGCTCCAGCGCCTGCTGTACCTTACTCTTCACCCCTGCCGCCTCCATGGCCTCTGCCGTCCTGGTCAGCGCAGGGAGCAGGTTGAAAAGACGCGGTCTTACCGAGAGCAGAGGGTCGGGCGCGGAGGACGGCGATCAGAGTCTGCAGGCTCTTCTCCTGCAGCTCCCGGTCTCCTCCTCCCAGCAGCGACACGATTTCTCCACATGCGCTCCTCCTCCCCCCGATGGCGCCGCCTCCGTGAACTTGGTGAGGAGGGCAGAGGTAGCAGCCTGCGCGCTTGTGAGCGATGGGGAGGTGGCGGGAGACAGGAGGGACGGGACAGAGAAGGGGGGGGGTTGGGGAGGACGGTGAGGAAAGGGGAGAAAGAAATGGAGCTGAACGGAAGGAAGAAGGGAGGAAGAAAAGAATACAAAGTCGAACGAAGGATAAAGAATGCAGAGGACGAGGAGCAGGCAGGCAGAGGAGGTGAGGCGGCTGGAAGGGGGAGGTGGAGTGGGGGATAGGGGGTTGACCGGAGCGTTCTCTTCCTGCACAAGGTCACCAACGAGAGCGACAGTCTTCCTGGCAGGGGACAGCCAAGCCTGAGGCACCTCGGGGGAGTTGCGGGAGAGGAGGGCGAGGAGGGAGTTGATATAGCCCGCACCTCCTCCTTCCACGAACTGCTCCAAGCAGCTCCTGCACCCCCTCACAAACGTCGAGACAGCATAGAGCGACTTGGCAAGCAGCTTTGGATCCAGCTCCTGTACCTCCTTTGCTGCCCCGGCCTCCTCCATCGGTGCAAGGAGCTTCGCCATTATGTGTCTCCCCGCCAGCAGCTCCTGCAGCACAGGATTGCTCTGTGCCGCCGTCCCCACCACCCACAGCGCCGCCGTCTTCACCTCCCGCTCCCTGTGAGACAGGAGCTCCAGCACTGGTTGCAGGCCCCCGACTTTATCAAGGTCGTTGGCGTTGTCAATGTCGGTGATCTCTCCCTCCAGCTCCTCCAGCACCTCCACTAGCTCCCCAGCCTCGTCCCTCCGCACCGACGACAGGAGCCGCTCTACCACCTTCTGCAGGAACTTGACCTTGGTCCCGAACAGCGCGTCCATCACCTCCCGGTCGATCTTTGTCGGCTGCGCTCTCCCCTCCCTGATAGCTCTCGCTCTCTCCGCCAGCGTCTCCTTGTCTGTATGGTCTACTCCCCACTGCAGCATGCGAGTCATAGGATCTGCCGCCTGCCCTGCGCCCTGCGCCCTCTTGTCCTCTTGCTCCACCGGGACGTCCTCGAGGACGAGCTGGGCGCTGGTGAGGACGAAGAAGAGGAAGACGACTGTCGTCCTGACGAAGAGCTTTGCTCGCGCCATGCTCCGTTGTTGTTGTTGTTGTTGCTGCTGCTGCTGCTCTTAGCTCACTAGAGAGATAGATGCAGTGGCCTGGGGATCAAATAAACATCAAATATTGTCTCCGTCACTTGCAACCTCCCTCCTGCTCCTGCTCCTGCTCCTGCTCCTGCTCCTGCTCCTGCTCCTGCTCCTGCTCCTGCTCCTGCCCCTGCTCCTGCTCCTGCTCCTGCCCCTGCTCCTGCTCCTGCTCCTGCCCCTGCTCCTGCTCCTGCTCCTGCCCCTGCTCCTGCTCCTGCTCCTGCTCCTGCTCCTGCTCCTGCTCCTGCTCCTGCTGCTCCTGCTGCTCCTTCCCGCCCCCCCTTCCCTTCTCCTCTTCCTCATGCTCTTTTTGCTGGCATTTACGGGGGCCACGCACGTTACCAGCGTGAAACACAATAAGCTAATTTGAAAAGAGAATAAGCTCAAGAAGTTTTGTTCTGACATAGAAGGCAGATAGGGATCCGCCGCAAACAGCGAGAAGCGAGTGAAGGAGAAACAAGAACAACAACAAGAAGAATAAGAACAAGATCAAGATCAAGATCAAGAAGATCAACAAAAGATCAACAAGTAGTACAACACCACGTGGATCAGCTAATTTCCCAGCACTTCTGAAGATGATGATTCGGTTGTTCACGTTGGCTACGATCCTTCTAGCCTCTCACAACGCCATGGCCTTCACTCCGTCATGTTCACCAATCTCCTTGCGCTCCTGGCAGAGGAGAAGCTCCATGCCCCTGAAGCTGAGGATGGTTGAGGAACGAGACAGCAGCATAGACAGGAGAACCTTCATTCTTCGAGCAAGCTTGGTCCTCCCTGCCATGTGAACATCCTCCTCCTCGAACTCCTCCTCGCCTTCCTCCTCCTCCTCCTCCTCATCATCATCATCTTTCTAGCTGACCTCAACCTTGTCTTCGCCTTCCCCTCATCGCCCTCCTCTTCCTGCTCTCCCTACCCTTCCTCATTCTTCTCTAGGATTCTTGGATCAGCGACTGTCAATGCCGAAGGCTCAGCCGCTCTTGCGGATCCTTTCACTTCAAAGGAGTACAACGACGTTGATAATGGTAAGAAACTGGAGCAGGAGCAGGAGCAGGAGCAGGAGCAGGAGCAGAAGCAGGAGCAGGAGCAGCAAGCAGGAGAGGAGCAGCAAGCAGGAGGAGGAGGAGGAGGAGGAGGAGGAGGAGGAGGAGGAGGGAGGGAGGGAGGAGGGAGGAGGAGAGGTTTCAGAGTCA